TGTCCTTTCATGAGCTCTACATTCCAACCAAACTGGACTACTAGTCTTTCCTTAACCTCTCTACTCCATGGGCTCTCATAAGCCAGCCTTCAAGTCTGGAATGCATTTCCTCAAATCTACCTTTCAGAATGCTTGACTCTCATAGAGACTCAGCTGAGGTGCCACCTCCATGAACCCTCCCCTGCTCTCTGCCCACTCTCTCAGCCATTTGCACTCCCTTTCATTTTAATTTTCCTCTATTTATCCCCCTTTTTATCTCTGGCTCTTCACACATACACACAAACTATTTTATATATATAGATGACACTTAATAAATAGTTGTAGAATTTATTTAAATTGACACAAGATTGAATGCAGGGTGATAAATTGTCTGGTGATAGCAACTCTTGAAGACCATCCACTGAATCATAGAAATTGACACATGTTGTTTCCCACATTAAATTGTGAACTTCTTGAGGGCAGGGACTGTTCTTATCTTCCTTTGCATGCCCAGTACAGTTTGTGGCACATAGTAGGTGCAACACATACTTGTTTACTTGAAGCGTGGAAAAAATGAATAGTAGTTAGCAGAGAAGTAGGAGTACTCCTAGAATGACAATAGTATATTCAGCAAAACTGTTAAATTGAAAGGATCAGAGAATAGGATCTTTCATTTTTTTTTTTAAAGTTAGCTAAAAAAAGACTTTTGGCTTAGGCCTTTGTTATTAAAATTTTTTCTAGCCTCATTTCTAAAATATATAGAGAATTAAGTCATATGAACAGGCAGTTCTCAGATGAAGAAATTAAAGCCATCTACAGTCATATGAAAAAATGCCCTAAATCAATATTGATTAGAGAAATGCAAATCAAAACAACTCTGAGGTACTACATTATACCTATCAGATTGGCCAACATGACAAAACAGGAAAATGATAAATGTTGGAGATGTGAGAAAATTGGAACACTAATGCCTTGTTAGTGGAGTTGTGAAATGATCCAACCATTCTGGAGAGCAATTTGGAACTATGCCCAAAGGGCTATAAAATTGTGCATACCCTTTGACCCAGCAATAGCACTTCTAGGGTTGTATCCCAAAGAGATCATCCAAATGGGAAAAGGATCCACATGTACAAAATTATTTGTAGCAGCTCTTTTTGTGGTGACAAAGAATTGGAAATTGAGAGGATGCCCATCAATTGGGGAATGGCTGAATAAGTTGTAGTATATGAATGTAATGGAATATCAATGTGCTATAAGAAACGATGAGCAGGCAGACTTCACAAAAACCTGGAAAGACTTGTATGGACTGGCGCTGAGTGAAGTGAGCAGAACCAGAAGAACGTTGTACACAGTAACAGCCATGTTGTGCTATGACTAACGTTGATAGACTTAGCTCTTCTCAGCAATACAAGGATCTAAGACATCTCCAAAGGTCTCACTATGGAAAATGCTATCCACATCCAAAGAAAGAACTATGGAGTTTGAATGCAGATTGAAGCATATTATTTGCTATTTTTTTCTTCTGTTGTGTTTTGTTTCCTCTTTCTGGTGGTTCCTCCTATTGGTTCTAATTCTTCCTTACAACATCACTAATGTGAAAATGTTTAATAGGAATGTATATGTATAGCCTATATCAGATTGCATGCCATCTTGGGGAGGGAGGTAGGGAAGGAGGGGGAGAAAAATTGATAACTCAAAAGCTTATGGAAGTGATTGTTGGTAAATCAAAATAAATTAATAAAAAAAGAAAAAAATTTCCAAAATACCATCTTCTACCTAAATTAAGTGTCTTGTATTGGCTTCCGTGACTGAGGATGCTCCTTACTCTTCTCCTATCTCTCATCTTAGTGATTTCTCCTTGTTCTCCTTTGTTTGCTTCTCTTACTCCCCCCTCTCTTCAAGGATCTGTCTTCAGTACCCTTCTCTCATCACTTTCTCCATTGTCAATCTCATCCACTCCTAGGCTTCAACTGGTAGCTTTAATCTTATATCTTCCAAATCTAGGCCTCTAGACCCAAGTTCCATTTTTGAATTTCCAGCTGCCAACTCATGATCAACACCTAGATCCTCTGATGGCACTAGTGACTCACTAGATGCATAACTACCACCAGAAAGTCAAGGGAGTTGATGAGAAGAAGGGAGAAGCTTCCAAGAACCTATTGAAAACGTTTGCCTCTGAGGTTGCCTGCATGCAGAGGACAAAATCAATCAACATTTATTATGCACCTACTATGTGCCAGGCACTATGACCTTGAGAAACTAGAATATCGAATTTTGAGTTTAATTAACAAGATGAAATTTCATAGGGATAAATATAATTGTTTTCCAAGTTATTTTCAGAAGCACGGAATGGAGGAAAGACTGCTTGACAGCAATTTGTCTGAAAAAGATCTAGGGGTTTTAGGGGGTAAGGTAGAACATTGGTCCTGGAGTTAAAAAAGTTGTTGATCAGTTGTGTCTGAGTCTTCATGACCCCAATTGAGGTTTTCTTGGCAAAAATATTGGAGTGGTTTGCCATTTCCTTCTCCAACTCATTTTATAGATGGGGAAACTGAGGTAAATAAGGTTAAGTGACTTGCCCAGGGTCACACAGGTAGTAAGTATCTGAAGCTGGATTTGAACTTGGGTCTCCTTGACTGCAGGCCTGGAGCTCTATCCACTGCCCCACCTAGTTGCCTACAGTTAGAAAGACCTGTGTTCAAATCTGACCTCAGACACTTAGTAATTATGTGACCCTGAGCAAATCACTTAATCAGTTTGTCTCAGGTTCCTAAAGGTAAAATGTAAAATGGAGATAATAACAGCATCTACCTCACAGAGTTGTGAAGATCAAATGAGATAATATCTGTAAAAGCCATAGTTTCTAGGACGTAGTATTTAATAAATTTTAGTTACTATTATTATTATTGGACTGATTTAGCAGCATGGTATGGTAACCAAGAAAGCTATTGCAATCTCAGGCTACCTTAAGGGAGGCATGGTGTCTGAGACTAACAGCATAATGGTAACCACTGCATTTTGGCTAGAACACACCTGGCATATCGTATCCAGTTCTCCATGCTACATTTTAGGAAGGACATTGATAACTTGGAGACCATCCTGAGAGGGACAAGCTAGATGGTGGAGGGATTCAAGTTCGTGTTGTACAAACATCATTTGATGACTTGGGGATGTTTAACCTGGAGAGAAGGCTTAGGGGGTACATGATAGTTGTCTCCACATATTTGAAGGGCTATCACATGAAATAGCCATTAGACTAGTTCTGAAGGGTCTTAGGGTCAGAACTAGGAGCAATAGGTAGAAGTTGCAAAGAAGTAAATTTAGGCTTGACATCAACATTTTGTAATAATTAGCGATTTAAAAGAAGAATGTGCCACCTCAGGAGGAAGTAGGCGTCTCCTCACAGGAGGTCTTTAAGCAAGGCTGAGTGTCTTCTTGTCAGGCATGCTATAGAGGGGATTCTCATAGAGATATAGATTGGAGTACATTTAATTCAACAAGCATTTATTAAGTGATGCTGTATGCCAGTTACTATGCTAGATACCAGAGGCTACAAAGGCAAAAATGAAAAAAAGAAGCCCACTTCAACCTTCGGAGTGTGTGATCTCCTCTGTCACTAACTGGTTTTGGGAACTTTTATGATTTAAAAACTCTGTGGGCCTCATTTTTCTTATTAGTAAAATGACAGGGTTGAATGAGGTGATCTTGAAGGCCTATTGCAACTCAACAATTCTGTGATTGTAAACTGAAAGTAACAGTGCTGTAATGTTGATGATGTCAGCGACTGGATCAGAGGTGAACTGATCCCAGATCTTAGCCTTGAAGGTTTTTTTTGAGCAGGGGAAGGCATGGTGGTCTGTTTTCATTTGCTTCTTTCCCCGAAAGACTCTAAAATACTAAAAAAAAAAAATTCAGCTATTTGACTTCTAAAAAGATGTGGATGGGTTGCTATCTGCACAGAGTATCAAGCAACAACTACTTATAATAATAACTAGCATTTGCAAAGTGCTTTACAAATATTTTATTTGATACGACGACGCTGGAAGGTAGGTACTATTATTTTCATTTTACAGATGAAGAAACTGAGCCTGAGAGAGGTTTAGTAACTTGCCCAGGGTCACACAGCTAGGAAAGATCACGAGGGGAATTTGATCTTTCTGGCTCGAGGTGAACCTGGCACGTTGTCCACTGCGCCACCTAGTGGCCCAATTTATGAAGGACCCATTACATGCTCTCAGGCTCATCATTTCCGTATGCTGGGGACAGAAAGATTCCAGTGAAAGTCTTCATTCTTGAAAGTGGCAAACAACATGTACACAGACCCCTCTCCGTCCAACTGTCAGAGTAAGTTGGCTGGTGATCAGATGGGGAGTGCGGTGTCTATTTTGGCTGTCTATGATCCGCCCGTGTAGCTAGATACCTAGCTATAATTAATACAGAATTGATAATAATTTTCAAAAATCATCACTCTAATAATCCCATGAATCTGTGATCTCACTGATGCGCAGCCTCCCTTCAATCATGCAGATTGCCACCACCTCATTTATGCCTCTCTACACTGTGTCACTTTTATCCATGTCGTCTCATAATATAGTCTGAAGAGATCAGCCCAAAGTACTGATGGGGTGGGGGGTTTTCACTTTCTCTTGATGTTATAAAGATGCTAATTTGCCAAATTTATTTTGTCCTGCTGTTCCTGGTATTCTTATGTTAGGATAATATGAGCTTCTGCTCTAAGAAAATTCACATATGACTTCCCACACAGGCATAGTTCTTCAAAAAACAAAAACAAAAACAAAAACAAAAACAAAAACAAAAACAAAAACAAAAAAACCCCAAACCCAAAGAGGGATGAGAATGGAGTTCCAGAAAGTATTAATGCATTTGCACAGGTCCCTTTGCTTCCAAGCCCATTTTGTGTTTCTGTGGGGAGCCTGGCCTGATTTCATAGTGGAAGGCAGAAAGTGGACACTCAATTTTCACTTGTTGGTGTGCGGATATTTACAGAAAAACCACCAATGGACGCTTGATCGTTCTGATTTTATTTATTATCTGGCTAATTTTAAAAGGCGCAGATCACTGCGGCTGCCTGGGCCCCATCCCTTAAGCTACTCAACAATGAATAGATACCAAAATGTGCATGTTTACAGTGCAGTGCTATGAAAAATTACTCTTTGCCCTTCTACAGTCCCTGACTACAAAGTAGGAAAAGGTGAATTTCGTGAAAGAAATTCACTGGGCATTTTAACAATCACTCCATTTTGTGCTCCTAAAATAACATAAGAAATTCTCATAATTTGTATTAGAAGTTAAAATATCAAAGCCTAACTTTTTTTTTTTACTAATATGCTACAGACACAAAAAAGTTGATTTCTTTCAAATCGTAAAATAAGGCACCAGTGGAGTAAGCATTTTTTCTTGCTTCACTCTTTTTACTAAACACAATGCATAGTGAAATAAATACTGAATACTGACTCTTAATACTGTAAATACACTTTAATATAAAATGATATGATGAATGTTAAAATACTGTATTTCATCTTGAATATACCTAAAACTTTATAGAAAATTAAAACAGACATAGTAACCTTAGATTTGGAAGAAGGAAAAAAAATGCTGATTTTTGCATCTTTTGCAGTAGTATTTTCTTTTTTTCTCTTTGTAGCTTTACCATAGAGGTGCTATGAGAAGTTTTGGCTAGAAAAGGGTTTTTTGTTTGTTTGTTTTTTCAAAGAAAGCAAGCAGAGATCCTTGGAATATTGGAACATTCATTGTTTAAAAAAAATACATTCTAAATATATCAGTTCCAGGTGGTTGGCAACTTTGAAGTTGAGATGCTCAAATTTAGGTTGCTCTCTGAAAATCTGGGATATAGAATGCAATGGGTCAACTATTGTTCCATTTGGACCATTTTCTCTATTGCAAATTTTTCTCTTCAACATATTTACATTGAAGACCAGGAGACATAATTTCAAAAGCTTGACCTTCATCTTCATCTTCATGTCGTATAGTTAAAACCAGATCAGAGAACAAGACCATATGTAGAGGGAGTTTGAAGGCACCTCAGAGGCTATCTATTTCAATCCCTTTATTTTATAGATGAGCAATCTGAGACCCAGGGGAAGTGAATTCAAACACAGGTAGTAAGCATCAGAGGGGGGAATCTGAACCCAGATCCTGTGATTCCAGAGACTGCTCTTTCCACTATACCAAGCTGCATCTTCTCCAAGGTTTAAAAAAAAAAAAGATGATTGAGTTCAGTAGATAAATTCCCCAAACATTATAAATCATAACAAAAATACACTTTTGGACATATTGGGTCCAGCCCTTGCAATAACTCTTCAGTCCTTGAATCTTTCAGACAGGTAAACAGCATTCACTGCCTGGCAGATATGTGTGGGACATAGGAGGGAAGAAGAACCGATCACATGTATCAAATCCAAGACTTTGGCAAGGAGAGGCATAAAAAACACAGTGCATTCAAACTGGTAACTTAATAATTCATTATACATCCCTAAGTACTATTGGACACAATACTTTATTCTATAAACATGAATGCATCTTTTGATCTGTCTTTGGATTGTTTTTTTTTTTTAGTTAACCAGTAACTTGTGAATAATAATTTGATATTGTAATAAAAAATTTGGGTAGATCTATATATGCTCATTATTAATGTGCTTTTTAAAAACAACTAATACATGAAACAATTTTAGACACAACCAACTATATAAAACATTTAGGTGAAAACTTCTTTTCCCGCTCCCTCCCACTCCCCTCATTCGATCTTAAAATAAAAATCTCATTAAGTCTCTGTAAACAAAACTGTATGAAAAAGGAACATCTGGCTTTCCCTATAGCCTCATTCACAGAGCTCCAAGACAATGGGTCCCTCCGTATAAATTTTTCTTACAAACATTTTTCATTTTCCAGTCTTGTGTCCTTCCAAAATGCTCTTATTTCAATAAGCCTCAGTCTTGAATTTTCAAGGCCCCATGCTCACTTACTCAACTGTTTCTCCTCTTGCATATTTCAGAGAATAGCATGTGACGCAATATTTTCCTAACTTTCTGTCCTTTTCTACTCTGGGCTGTCATTTGGACTTATGCCAGGCAGATTTCATGGAACCTGCCTCAGAAAGAGAGAAAGACAACAGTTGATTCAAATTGATGCAGCAAGAGTCCAGCTGACATACAGATGGATAAAACAGCTAATTCTGAGCCAGGGAGACTTATAGACCTTCAGTTTCTCTTAAATGGATGATTTCCACATGACCAGAAACTATACCAGACCAAATTCTATCTTGAGGTACTCACCAAGTTTATGCATTAAAAGTTTGGCCAATGGTGTGTGTGTGTGTGTGTGTGTGTGTGTGGTGGGGAGAAGAGGGGGAAAACAATATTTAGCTGTCAATTCTGTATCTAACAAGGAACATGGAATCCTAACTTCTTTTTTTGTTTACTCTTTAATTATTAAAGCATTTATTGGTTGTCTTTTTTCTTGGTGGGGGGGGGTTGTGGTACACTGTTGTAAAAAAAGAGGTTTTTTTCATTATCCTCTATCTCCCAGACCCTACCTTAGATTGCCAAGGGCTGGATGTGCTGTGGATGAAAGCACCTTTTGAGCCTGAGCTCAGTAAACTCCCCTAGGAGGTTTGTGGTTCACGGAAGTAGGAAGTAGGCTAAGCATGCAAAGATGGGGGAGAAAAATTAAATAAGCTAGCCTCCTTATGACAGAGACATTCTCAGGTGAGTGAATAGGCTTTAACAAGAATAAGTTTAAGGCAAATAGGCAGTAAATGCTCAGACTTTGCTCTTTAAAAGCTGCTAACATGAATTTCAAAACTTTCATTACTTGTCAACTTGTCATGAGAGGCTTCACCTGCTTGCAGCCCCTGAAGCAAGCAATAGCTTTGAAGGTATTACCTATATGTATGTATGTGTGTATATATATACATATATACACACATACATATGCATATATGTATATATGTGTATATATATATATCTATATATTGGTCATAAACTCTAGGTATACTTTATCACTTGATTTGGTAAATCCACAAAATCCACACATCCATCCCAATAGCCCCACCTTTTTACCCTTTAGTCACATGAAGGGGACACAAAAAAAGACGCAAGGATGGGGGTAGGGCAAGGGGGCTGATTTTCCAACGGTGACAACAGAAGCAGCTCTTCAGTTCAGGTAAATACAGAGATTGGGCTGGGACAGGTCGGTCACCCCATTCACCTGGGGGTTGGGGGAAGCGGGGGAGCTCCTCTTTCCCTCCTGTTGGAGCCACCTTGAAAGATGAAGGGGAAAAAAAGAATGATGAAGGAAAAGTCCAGAAATGGGTTAGAATGCTTAATTACTTTCATACAAAAGAACAGGACAGTTACATAATTATAGACCTGCTGACCCCACACCTTAAGCAAACTCACAATTATGTATGTAAGAAGTGAAGGAAACCTTGGAGTCTGGAGGACCTGAGTTCAAATCTTGCATCAGACACTTGACATTTACTACCTGCGTGACCTTGGGCAAGTCACTTAACCCCAACTGCCTCACCAAAAAGAAAGAAAAAAGAAGTGAAGGGAGCTGACTCTAGGCTCTTTAAAGGCAGGGCTTTGGGGAGCATTGTGTCTAACCTAGTGGCTTGCACATAACAGGGGCTTAAAATGTTATGTTATTGACTAGACATGGTGACTCACCATGGGTTGTTGAGTATATGTACAAGGCTATTGTGTTTCCTCATCAATTCAATTCAACAAATATTTGCTATGCACTTATAATATCGAAATAGAACCTTAAGAAGCCTCTAATTTAGTCAGCTATCAGATGTAACACCAGTATAGCAAAGTTCAAAACCCTTAGGATTGCTGCTGGTCACACGGCAACTGGGCTTTTCTGTTATAGTTAAATGCCTCTATGACTGGGGTCTGGCTTTCTATTCATCCCCTACAATGTGTATCTCAACAATTAAGCTAGCTGCCCACTTCAGGATATGTGAGAATACATGAGAATATATTAGGATACAGAGGTAGCTAGTCAGAACACTGGTTATAGTAATAGATGGAGTTACAAAGATCTGAGTTCAAAATCTGGCTGAGACACTTACTAGATGTGTGACCCTGGGCAAGTTATTTCACCTCTGTCTGCCTCAGTTTCCTCAATTGTAAAGAGTGTATAATATCTCATAAAATTGTTGTAAAGATCACATGATATAAAACATGTAAAACACTTTGTAAACCTTAAAATGCTATATAAACGCTACTTGTTATAATTATTAGAATGGGGTTTCTGGAATGGAAGGGAACTGGGGGAGAGTTTGGTCTCCCCACACAATGCGACTAAGCTAATAAGGAATCCTCAGGGATTGTCATAGCAACACCAGCGGACATTTCATAGGGGAGCCGTTTCAGGCAGTTTCCACAAAAGGGGTTGTAATTTAACAAAGTTGTATTTTGTTGTTGTTCAACACACACCACACTTTGTAACCCAGAGTGAGACACAGCAATAGACTTGAGTTCCCTTCCAGGAATTAGCAGAGTGGATATAGTTCTTGACTTAAAGTCAGGAAGACCTGGGGTCAGATCCTCCTCAGACATTAACGAGCTATATAACTCCAAGCAAGTCCCTTAAATCCTTCAGGTCCTAGTTTCCTCACTTGTAAAATAAGGAGTTTGACCTTGATGATCACTAAGGTCCCTCTCAGCTCTACTTCTATGAACCTATGCTCCTGTGAGCTGGTCTTGCTGTCTATGTGGGGACAACAGGGCTATATAAGAATTGTTTGCTGGCACAGATTATAACAAATGAACGAGAGTCACTATACCAAAAAAAATTTTTTTTTGCTTTATAAGGTCAATGTCTATAAGGTAGAAAACACATTATGTATACCGTTGTTTTATTCTGCAGTGTACAGGGCACTCCCAATGTGAAAAGTCCCTTCATGTGAAATTCATCTATAAATAATAGTCTTAGAGAGTTTCCCAGGGGCCAAGTGGCATAGGGACCAAGAGATTCAGTGACTTAGTGCCCAAGACTGCAGAGCTATGTCAATGTGTCCAAAAAACCCATATACAATTCTTATCTTTTATTTTGGGAGATGGCTTGGCAATTGATTTAAATACACAAATCATGTTCTGGCCAGATTAAGAATGTTCCAATGAGGGGCAGCTAGGTGGCACAGTGGATAGAACACTGGCCTTAGAGTCAGGAGGCATTGAGTTCAGATCTGGCTTCAGACACATAACACGCACTAGCTGTGTGACCCTGGGCAAGTCACTTAACCCCAACTGCCTCACCAAAAAAAAAAAAAAGAATGTTCTGATGAAACCAGGGAAGATATTCAGGCTCCCCGTCTACTCTAGGACACAAAACTCTACTCCCTTTAGACACCCAAACATGGTATTAGACCCAACGGGAAGAAAAAAAACTTTATCTTTCTTATCAAAGTTCTATCCTATGATACAAGGTGTGTAATAATAACAGGTGTATGCCTTACTCAGAGGTTGATTTTTTTAACCAAAACTGCAAGCTCCATATTTATCTGACAAAAGCCTCATTTAGGAAGTTGTCCTAATAAGTGAATAAGGAAGTTGTCAGTTGTCCTAATAAGTGAATTCCAAGCACCTGAAGTTTATTTTATTCAAACTTTTTTTGGTGAAAATAATCCTCAAATATATTAGTCACCCTTCTTAAACAGGGAATACTAAATGTAATTTAACTTTTCCTTGCTAACTTGGGAAAAGGCAGTATGGTGCAGTGGGTGGAAAACTGGAGCTGAATCCAAGAAGCCCTGATTTCAAATTCGAACTCTGATATACACTGGTTGTGTGATCCTAATCTCGAAGATTATATGTTGCTGAAAAGATGCCAACCTACATTGGTAGAAGAACATTCCTCCTCTTAGGAGTTCTGTATCTTTAAGTCCATTGCCTCAACCTTGTTATCTCCATGGAATCAGCTAGGTGGCACCATAGTTCATAGAGCTCTAGGCCTGGAGTCAGGAAGAACTGAGTTCAAATACAGCCTCAGACACTTACTAGCTGTGTGACACTGGGCAAATCATTTAACCTCTATTTGCTTCAGTTTCCTCATCTGTAAAATGGGGATACTAGTAGCACTTAGCTTCCCGGGTTGTTGTGAGGATCAGATGAGATAATAATTGAGAAAGCACAGTGCCTGGCACATAGTAAGTGCTATATAAATATTAGCTGTTATTATCATTATGAAATTGATTATTCTACTGTGCATTAATAACCAGTACAATCCTAAGTCTACTTTTTAGTTTTTTGTCTCTTCTCTTGATGTGAGACTATCACCTGTCACCTCTATTCGATGTCAGTATTCAGACTTCTAACCACTTGTCACTCATTATTTCTAGTCTGCTGGTTCTAATCTGTAGGAGGTGGTGAAAAACTAATTAACTGAGTTTATGAAGAATCATGTGGTAAGGAAGAATAGTGGCCATGAGTGACAGTAGAATGACCTACTCCATGGATGAAAGTATTTACTTGGTTTTCCCCCAAGGCAATTGGGGTTAAATGACTTGCCCAGGGTGACATAGCTAGTAAATGTCAAGTGTCTGAGGCTCAATTAGAACTCAGGTCCTCCTGACTCCAGGGTCAGTGCTCTATCTACTGCGCCACCTAGCTGCCCCAAAAGTATTTATTTTTAGTGTAATTATTTTGTGATAGTTGTATCAGGGTTATCAAAAGCCCTTTTCACTTATTTCTGGGATTGGAGCTGAGGCTGTGCACTGTGTTTAGGGTTGAGGTAGCCAGATAATCATCCATTTCCTACTTAATATGCTCCTTCTCCCAACTTTCCTATTTCTGTGGATGGCATCACAATCTTCTTAGTCACCTTGGCTCAAAGCTTCAGTCATCTCTGCCTCTTCCTCTCACTCATTCCTCACTCCCTCTCATCTAATCAGCTACTAAATCCTTCAATTCCAAGACTAAAACAGCTTTTACATCTGTCTCCTTCTACCCATGCACACTGCCACTAGTTCATTCAACTTGAGCTTTTCCTTGGGAAGCACTTTTCTTCCTCTGAAGATCATAGTTACTTTCAGAAATTTGGGTTTACTCGTATTTTCCAGTCTCTCTCACTTATGCTTCCATCAGTAAAGAGGACGATGTAGAAAGGGAGTGACTATCTTAATTAATAAAAAGTTTGACCAATATGTTTCTTCTCTCAGGAAAGGAAAATGGTTCTATTTATGCTGCCTCAAATGGGCCAAAATGGAGATGGAATTACTGAAGCATACAATCTAATAAAATTTCAATTTACTAGGAAATCAAAGGCATACTAAACTGATAATTTATTAAAAGAATTGTCTATGGAGGACACACTGAGTATATTCAGAATCCTCATTTTATGGGGAAATTATCCAATTGCTGGAGGATAATCGATTCAAATGGTCCCAAAAGCAAATCCTTAATCTCTTCCCCCATCTGATAGACCTCCCCCTCTAGTAAAGACAAACTGATGTTACCAACAATAAAACCTACTCCAGTTAGTCCAAGTTTAAATCACAAAAGCACAAGTAGGGAAATACTCACTCCGGTTTTCATTTCTTGCCATTTTACTGGGGTAACTCTTGGTCATTGGTACATATGGCTCTGGAGGTGGCAAATCAGATAGTGGATGGAAGTAAAATCTGCTTTCCCACTCATCTGAGGGAAGATCAAATGTATTATCAATACTAGACAATCTGCTACAAGAGTTAACTTAACCAAAGGGACTGAATGAAATTCAGGCACAACTGGGTCCAAACCACTTTAGGTTTATGTGCATACAAGAAAAGCTAGTAGCATTTTAACAAAGACGCAATTCAATATAGCAAATGTTCTAAAAGATGTTAGTACATCAGCCTATCACTACCTACGGAAGTCACATCTGACAGGCCTATAATTGACACGATCAATTATAAAAGAAATAAAGTACCAGGCTGGCTAGGACCACAGTCATCTCCAATGAAGGGTCAGAATTGACTGACACGACTCCACAACAGTGGCAGTTTACAAGGGGGTGACTTCTTTGGACTCTTCCTTCTTTGCAAACTGTCTAGAAATAAGGTAATACAGGGAGGAAAAGTCATCATTCTTCTAGGATCCTAGACTCTTGTAATTCTCCATCTTGCTACAATGGGAAGCAAATAAAGACTATGTAGATCAGGGAAAAATCATCTGCCTTTTTTTTCTGCCTTTACTATCTTTAATCTTAAGTCACTGTGGGTGATTACTGTTGGGGCTCTAAAATCATAGAGACTGTGGGGGAAATCAAGAAAGATATTATTTATCCATGATTTGCATAGAGTACAGGAACAAGTCAGCTGCCCTATAGAATAGGTGGGGATCATATCTCACCTTCACACGATAAGTCTTGAAAGCCATTCCTCATCGAAGATGAGGGTGGCGGGGGAGGTGGAGCTCCAGAGCCTGGCCTGTCTGGAGGAAGAGGAGGCCTTGGGCTACCTCTCTGGTTTTCTAATCCACCTCTGGAAGGCAGCTGAGGAGTAGAAGGCAGTGCTCGGGAAGTATTGCCATTTCTGTTTATAGGCGGAGGAGGCGGAAGAGGTCCTGAAGAATTAAAAAAAAAAGAGAAAGACAACATGGCGTTTCACATTTTCATCATGATCAACAGTAACAAGTAAGCAAGTCTTCACTGGCTGCACGACACTTAACACAACTCTGTTAAGGTAGTTAGGTGGCATATGGCATAGAGCATATACCATAGAGGTAGTATATAGCGTTAGTAGAACATAGCATAGAACAGACTTGAGAAACACGATGATGAAGATGAATTCAAATCCTGCGTCAGACGTTGACTAGTTGTGTAATCCTGAGCCAATTGCTAAACCTCTTTCAGCTCAGTTTCGTTATTTGCAAAATGGGGATAATGATAGCATCCACTTCACAAAGTTGTTATGAAGATCAAATGAGATAATACATGCAAAACACTTGTTTTACCTTAAAGTGCTATATAAATGTTAGCAATCATGAGAAGCTGTGTGGAAAAAGTACTGTATTTTGGTGTTGGGATAATATGGATTCAGATCCCTGCTCTGCCACTGTGGGAACTCAGGCTAGTCACTTAATCTCCTGTGGCCTCATTTTCCTCATTTAATAAATTTAAAAAAATTGGTTTTTTTAAAAAAATTAATAAAAAATACTGTCATCTGTAAAATGAAGGGTTTAGACTGGGTAGCTGCTTAGGTTCCTTCCAGCTCTGAATGTATGCTTCTATGGAAAAGATGTGATGTCTGCTTCTTGTTAGACTATAATTTAAGGGGGACGCAAGATGGTCAAACATACATGAACCACAAGCAAAGATAAACTTTCATTTAAGTACATACAGATATGTAGGTGTCTAACCTAATGGAATCCAAGCTCCTAGAAGGAACAACTTCATCTTTGTTTTTGCATCTCCAATGCCTTAGTACAGTGCCTGGCACGTACATGCTAATTCACCGGCATATGTTCAAAGTAATACATACTTCTAAGCTAAGGAGTTGTTCCAGTGGTTTGTTGAGTGTGTTGCTAGAGATCAGACAATGTTCTACTTTGGTCAAGGAAAGTTTTCCCTTTTATGATTTAACCAATTTAATACTTGGAGCCTGAAAAATGTTTTGTTATCCTTTGAGTCTTTTTATTAGTTATTTTATTTGTAGAACAATATGTTAGAGATTTCGAGCTGGACAGAACCCTTGTACGTGTCCTGAGACAGCCTGCTTTGTATTTTGGGGGGTATATTGTATATTTTGCATATTTTTTGGCTTGTTGTCTCCCCCATTAGAGTATGAGGACGAGGACTGTCTTTTCCCTCTTTTTGTAAGGCACTTGGCAGTGAGCCTGAAACACAGCAGACACTTAATAAATGTTTATTGATTGAATGATAAAAAAGCAGGATATTTTTTCTTTAATAAAAAGTCCTTTGAGGTACACCGAAGTAAGATATCCTTTAAATGCAAAGTATCTCTGATTTAATCAATAGGCACATTCCTCTAATGAACAATTCCAACCATAATTGGTCCCTGGCAGAAGTATCATTAGGAAACCAACCAGCTGTCATCTTGAAAATAGAAGTTCCCTCTTCAGTCCTCCCCTTCAGAGAAGCCCTTGGATATTTAGGTGAAAAAAAGATTAGCTGGTAAACTCCAGAGAGGAGTTCTAATTCTCAAACAGCTGATTTGATGTTTGCCTGAGGGTAAACCAATCATACAATTTCCTTTCCAAGACAAAAGCAGACTAACCTTAATTCACATTTCAGTTAGGAACCTAGGAACATTCACTAGGGAGGCAATTGTAAAGGTATAAACAAATGCTCTAAAAATTATTTCCAAAATGATTCCATGTAGTGGTAGAAATTATGGATCTCCTCAGCAAGTATTTCAGAAAAAGTCTCCTCATTCTTTTAAAACTGCCAAATAAAGAGACTATATTCTCAACTGTGCAGTAGTAAGTCAATAGAAAGACAAAAAAAGAGTACTTTTGCACTGCAATTAACCCTTAAAATGGAGTAAATGAATTTAGACAATTTTACTAATAATATACTAAGAAGTTCTAATTTTACTAATGATAATTTTACTAATAAATAACAATTATTATTTACTAATAATTTATTTTACTAACAATTTCAATCTCTGCGATCACTTTCTTTGGATTGCTTGCTAGAATTAACAAATAGGAAAACAAGTTTTTCCTCCAATCTCCCCTTGATATTTCAAAGGATGTCCTTTAAACAGTTAAATGGCCCAAAGACAGATAGATGAAATGAGAAGCACCTAGCAAATTAATTAAATATCCCCAGAAAAACTGTCTACCTAATGGCAATATGTGTCCCACAGAAGAGTGGGATTCAGTTCCCAATTGGAGGAAAAACTTATTCACTTGAAGAAAATACTGATAGTGTGGAAAGAGCACTAGGGAGGCTGAAAGTCTGAGCTCTAGTCCCCATGTTAGTCAAGCATATGTGAACCATAAACAAAGATCCGTCGACTAATTTAAATACATAAAATGGGTATCTACCCTGATATGATGCAAGCTCCTTGAAGGTTGAAATGATTTAATTTTTGTTTTTGAACTCCAAGTGCTAAGCATGGTCACTAGAGTGACCTTGTGTAAATGAAGTGGAGTGCAGTGAGGGGTGGATTAAATTCAGAGGTGTCAAATTTAGAGCCTGCAAGCCACAAGCTGCCTACAAAACTCCAGAATGTGGCAAGAATTAGATGAAAATATAATTGGGAAACTTTTAACAAAAGAAATAAAAATACAATACAGCCTAGTAAATGTTAATTTGTAGTTTTCTAAGACAAAGATTCTAAGTCAACTAGAGTTTCTATTTGAGTTTGACACCACCGGATTAGATCACTTTCTATGGGCATACATAGGCATATACACTTTGGCTCTCTGGGAAGGGGCATATGTACTCTGTCTCCTTCCTAAGGGTACACTCATAAAGGGCTTTGGGTTGGTTCCTGGTTCCTGTGACGGAGTGAGGGTAGGATCAGTGACTGAAACAGGAAGAGCTGCCTACTCTGTGAGCCTTAAGGAGCAAGAAGAGATACTTCTCAATCTCTTTGAAGGAGGTCTTTCACTTGGGACACAGCCAAAGGCAACTCTTCCTTGGACTTCTCAGTGGTTGGAGGAGGAGATAATATGCATACCCAGCTCTGGGAGAAGTGCTCCAATCCAAGCTCCCACTACAGATATAATTTAGCCTCTCTGCTCCTCACTTTAACTCTAAAATGAGTAAATAACATTTGCCCTGCCCACCGCACAGGGTTGTTTTGAGTAAAGTAGTTACGTAAACCTGAAAATGCTATAGAAACATAAACTTAATATTGTTGCAAAGGTAACATCATATGGCAGTTTGAGAGCTGGCCTGGAAGCCAAGAGGATCCTAGTTTGCCTCTTGCCTCTGACACATACTACCTGTGTGACAAGGATGGACATTCTCTGTCTTCTTATTTCTATTTCATAGAGTCTGTGTCTTCCTCTAAGAGGCTGCTCATGGACCATATTCTGCCTGAGACCTTATCTGATTCCCTCAACTGCTAGAGCCTTCTCTCCTAAATTCCATACCTACCACTTTTTTTATCTACTTTGCACATAGTTGTATTTACACATTTTATATTTATGCTGTATATATTTTACATGTATTTGTCTCCCCCATTAGAGTGAGCTCCTTGCAAGTAAGAATTGCTTCATTTCTTGAACTTGTATGTCTATCACCTGCACACAGTAGGTCCTTAATAAATACTTTTCGATTGGAAAAAAAAAAGTCACAATCTTTCAGTGCTCAAGCCACCTCTCTAAGACAAGAACAGTGGAGTTTTTTGGGTTATAACTCCTTTGGCAGTCAGGTGAATAAAGCCTATGGACCAGGTCTACAGACAGTTTCAAATGGGTAAATAAAATACCTAGGATTATAAAGGAAACCACTTATAATGAAATACAGTTATCAAAATGTTTTTTAAAAATTCACAGACCTCAGGTGACATACCTCTGTTCTTCTCTAAGAACTTAACTTATAGAAAAGGCCTTGACCAGAACTGATAGATAGTTTCTTCATCTGGGAGTTCCCTTTACCAATGAAGCACAGGTTCTGTCCTTATCCTCAGTCCTGAATATTATTTATAATATTATAAATTATTCTACTATATTATTATGTGGTAGAATAATATAATATTATATTATATATAGCATGTTATAACATATATCATATGTTATATATTGTAACATATTATATTATGATTTTTTTGATCACCATTAGAATGCAAGTTCCTTCAGGGCAGGAAACGTTTGTGCTTGTCTTCATATCCACAGCACTTAGCATAGTGCCTGGCACACAGTAAGTGCTTAATAAATGCTCGTTGCTTGACTGCTACCTGATAATTAGGTAGGCCTAGGTACACAGAGTTCCTGGAGATGTTGCCATACCTGATCTGCTTGGTGGATCTCTCACTGGAGGAGGTGGCCTCTCATTGGGTGGGGGAGGAAGCGGACCTGAACGCCCTGGTGAAAGTAAGGGGGGCGCAGAAGAAGTGAGGGATAGATTCCGTTGGGGAAGCCTTGGGATTTCGTCATTCCCACTGGAAACTGGAGGCACAGGAGGAGGACCAGGCCTGCTGGGAGGGGGAGGGGGAGGCAGGGCCTGTGAAGACGAGGATGGCCTGGGCGTGGAAGGCACTGGAGGCTTATTGTTTTGAGGAGGAGGAGGCGGGGGAGCTCCTTCTCTATTGACCAATGGTCTGCTGCCCATCGGAGGAGGAGGCGGCGGCGGCTTGTCATCCATGGCCCGGCTCGGGGCAGGGGGAAGGGGAGGTCTGTTGGAGAAGGGGGATGAGGAGCCTGGAGACGACTGTCGAATCCCTCCAAACCCTGCATTTCGGTTCCCAGGGAAAGGGGGAGGAGTTGGCCCCAGGCTGGGCTGCCGGTGTACCCCGGGCACTGGGGGAGAGCCTCGGTTGTGGAGATTTGATTGTGTTGGCCTTGGCGTGCTGGGCACGGGAGGCGGACCGCCGTCAGGCTTTGCGCTCAGGTCAGGCCTGGGAGGAGGAGGCATTCGGCTCCTCTGGGGCTCGGGAGGACCACTTCTGTGGCCTGGGGAAGGTGTAGGAAACCGCCCTACACCTCCTGGAGGGGAAAATGGCTTTGCAGACGTAGCTCTTCCTCCCGGGGGCAGAATAGGAGGGCGGATTCCTGCCGAGTCTGAAACTAGAGAGGATGATACCAGGTTAGAGATGATGCAGCCTAAGAAAAATGACGACACAAAGTACTTCCTCAAATGTGAAGATCGCTTCCTGGAGAATTCTAAGAAAAGGCTCCAGGGGTGGGGAACCTGAGGCCTCGAGGCCACATGTGGCCCTCTGGGTCTTCAAGTGCGGCCCTTTGAATCCAAACTTTATAGAACTCATCCCTTCAGTAAAAGGATTTGTTTCGTAAAAATTTGACTCAGTCAAAATGCTGCACCCAAAGACCTAGAAGGCCACAAGTGGCCTGGAGGCCGCAGGTTCACCACCCCTGGGCTAGCCATTCATTTACCTAGGCTAGTTCCTGAGGTAGGGGGATGGATTGGATGATTTCTAAATTCTTTCTAGTCCCACGAACCCAGTGGATTTCAGAAGATTCTGTACCAAACTCTCAACACAATTAGAGGACGTGGGTTGGTTACTATTAAGGCCAGGCTGTTATTTAAGTTTATACTATTAAAAATTAACCAAAAAACAATCACCTTTCCTGTCATAAGGTTTGAAAAAATGGTCTTCCTACTTTCATACCCTGTTTAGTAGGTCTTCTCACTGGATGCAAAAGAACCCTTCTACAAGTAGGTGACAAAATATGATAAATAAACTTGTGTCTCCCCACAAGGAAAAATGGAGGTCAGCAAAGGCTGGCAGAGAAAAGTCTGGCAAACAAAAATCGGGTTTAAAAAAAAAGGCAGCTGGAATTAAAAGAAGTGCTTTTTAGCAGCACTGAGTGACATGGACAACTGAATTCTTTTCTGATGGATATTTTCACTTCCGACGTGGTAGACCAGGACAGCCTTATTACATAGTTAACATGACATTGATGGGGCTGCCGGCAGACGGCGCTGGAAGCATCCACAGATTTGGACTCAGAGGACCATGGTTGGAACTCTGCCTCTGCCACTTACTATCCATGTAATCCTGACTGTCAACCTCTCTGGACCCTAGTTTTCTCATCTGCTAAATGGTGGTGGTAGTGGTGGGTGTGGTGAGTAGGTGGACTGAATGAATTCTAAAGTCCCTTCCAGCTCTAAATCTATGACCAACCACATGAGATAACTAAGCTGAAAAAAAAAAACTTATTTCAAGCCCAGCATATTCATCTCCTTAGGGCAGGTAGGTGGTGCATAGAGTGCTGGGCCTGGAGTCAGAAAGACTCATCTTCCTGAGTTCAAATCTGGCCTCACACTTTCATAGCTGTGTGACCCTGGGCAAGTCACTTAACCCTGCATGCCTCACTTGCCTCATCTGTAAAATGAGCTGGAGAAGGAAATGGCAGAACACACCAGTATCTTCATCAAGAAAACCCCAAATGGGGTCATGAAGAATCAGACAAGACTGAACAATATTCATCTCTTTAGAACTTATAATAATGTGACTAATATGGAAATGTTTTACATAATTGTACATGTATCAGGGAGGGAAGAAGGGAGGGAGGGAAGGATAGAATTCGGAATGCAAAACTTTAAATAAAAATGTTAAAAAATTGGTGGTGCAGTGGATAGAGCACCGGCCCTGAAGTTAGGAGGACCTGAGTTTAAATTCGGCCTCAGACCAAACACTTGACACTTTCTAACTGTGTGACCCTGGGCAAGTCGCTTAACCCCAATTGCCTGAAAAAAATTTTTTTTTAAAAGTACAGGAAAGCTCATAATAATCTTGGAAATTGAGTTTTATAATTTGAAAAACACTGCTTTTGACCAGCAGGTCTTACCACACACAAGATAGCAATAAGTAAAGGATTAAAGTATTCAGAGCCAGGACTGAGAAGGGCCTGCTGGGTCCCAGGTCAACTGTCCTAGATTAGTAATCATGAATACATAGGGAAAAAAGTTGAATATCTGAGAAAATGGAAGTCAAGAAGATCCAAGTAGCAGTCAAAAATTTATATGCCATTAAAAGTTTCTGGGGTGCTTTGCTTCAGTTATTTCATTTGATTTTCTTAATAACCCTGGGACTTAGGTGCTATTATTATCTTGCACAGGATTACAAGCCAGAGGGTTGGTCAACTCAGGTGGAGGAATGCTTGAGTAAAATGGCAAAAATTAGAGGAGGGAGGATATGAAATGTTAAAAGTGAACTGGCTCAAATCTGCCAGAGTAATAATTCTGGTATGAGAGTTTGCATTGGCCAGAGGAGGACCCTCTGCTGAGCCTGGTGTACCAGAATATATTGGCCACACTTTTCCAACTAAGAGAAAACCTGTCAAGGGATATGGTTAGGCCTGGTTATGACAGGCATTTTCATATTATTAAGTCTCTGGGTCTCGATACATTCTGCTGAATTAGAAGGAAGCAGTAGAACCATTTAACAATTTGTCAAATAAGTGTGTGTGTGTGTGTGTGTGCTCGAATGCATTTTACATCTTTTCAAAGGGCATTTTAACATTTCTTACAGGATACTGTAGCAAAGTGGCAAAGGGGATAGAGCACAGGGCTTGTAGTCAGGAAGATCTAAGTTTAAATCTGAACTCAGACACTTACTAGCTGTGTGACCCTGGGCAAGTCACTTAACCCTGTTTGCCTTAGTTTCCTCATTGGTAAAATGAACCAGAGAAGGAAATGGCAAACCACTACAGTATCTCTGTGACCCCGAATGGGGTCACAAAGACTCAGACACAACAATAACAAAAGATACTGAAGCAGGTTGGGTAAGAAATTAGAATTTATTCCTCCTGCTCCCCTCCCCAACCAAGTAGGGAGTATTTTCTAAGGTGGTTTCTTATGTCTCTGTATAGAAAGGAGATAATCTCACAGAGCAGGCAACTGTTTTCATTTGAGCACAACTAATAGAGGCAGGGGAGATGTTTTAAGTTTTTACTGTACTATTATCAACTCAGAGCAGATGCTTTGTGGCTTGACTGCTGCTTTGGAGGGTCCCATTAGCATATTTTCAGAATCAATGGGATTGAAATTCTATTATCATCATCATGAATGCCTCCCATGGACCCAACTCTATTCTAGGAGGGTGTTAGGGGTTTGCAAATCCCCTGTGACTTCAAGAAAATTATTCCCACATTTGATGGTTATTATCTAAGTGCTATAGATTGATTTTGGACTGGAGAACAGAGTCAGACAATTTGCAAAAAGTAGACAGCGCACATTCTCAGGATGCCAAGCCACTAGGCAGAGGTCCATGAACAGAGGGCCATAGATATTGTTCTTTCTCCCAAGCCAGCTTGCCCTGGAAAAGTGTCCCCCTAAAGTATAGGACTACTCCATACGTTACCACGGTCTGATATTGCTAGAGAAAATGATGTTATATTTTATATTATGTTCCTATCGAAAATAGCTTTAATTTAAAATAATTCTTAAAGAGCATGAGACAATGGAAAGGGTACTGGAGTTAGGGTCAGAGGGTGCAAATCTTACCCCTGCTACTATCTTTGTGAACTGGAAAAGTCACTTAAACTCTCTCACCTAAATCATCTCAGTTTCCTCATCTCTAAAATGAAGGGATTGGATAAGATGGCCTCCAAGGTCCCTTCAAACTATGATCCTATGAAATATGACAGCAGTCGGGAGACACATCAACCTAGTAAATAAGGAAGAAAGGTTTGTTCATGTCATTACCATTATCTCGGTTGGCCGTAGATCTCAGCTTTGGCATTCCTGCCTGGAATAATCCGCCTAAACCAGGTGGACCACTCCCTCCGAAACCACCTCCAGTAGCACCACCACCACCTCCACCAAATCCACCACCACCGCTGCCTCCTCCAAAGCTGCTGCCTCCACCACCGGATCCTTTAGGTTCTGTAGAGAGAGGAAAATGAAATCTTTAGTGCAAACAGAAGGCATGAATGTTATTTCATATTTACTCTTTCATCAAGCCCTAGAATTGCAGAAAACAATAATGACTATACAAAGATATATACACATACATATATGTATGTATATATGTTTACACACACACACACACACACACACACATACACACATATAATAAAACAATAAAACAAGAATCTACCTGGAAAACAGGATGAGGAGTACTCTTTGGATTCTTCTTCACTACAGTATTTTTCTCTATATTTTGTGGCTTTTCTCTGAAGGGCCTTAATGATAAAGCCCAGATCTTTACCTCCTCCCCACCTCAAATACCACATCTCTCTTCCCTCCATACCAGCTGTGAAAAAATGCAGGAATTTCCGTAGTGATAACAAAGGAGTACAGAGTAGAAACAAAGAGTGGGTGATCCACTTGTCCCTAATATGCACTGACTCCCCTCTTCCTTTCTCTTTCCCCAACCAAAAGACGCCGGATCTGGGATTCTGTGAAATCTTCTCTGGCTGGTGTCTGCCTGCCTCTCAGTGTGCTGGGAAGCAAGCTACTTGTGCTGGGGAAACAAAGTTCACATTGTGGTGTTTGTCATCGCTTCATCGCCGGGATTGCAAAGCTTGCACTCAGGAGGTTATTTCTTTCTAAATAATGCATGCTAGTTTCATAGGATTATCGGATCATGAATTTAGAGTTAGAAGGAGTCTCAGAAGTCATCTCGTTCAACTCCCTCATTTTACAGAGGAGGAAACTGAGGCCAGAAGAGGTTAAGTGACAATAGCTGGTATTTATCTATACCTTTAAGATTTGCAAAGCACTTTACATATCCCTTTCATTTCGTCTAAGGCCACCAAGATAGGAAATGGAAAAGCCCAGGTCCTCAGACTCTAAATCCAGAGTTCCTTCCATAGTGACATGCTGCCTGAGTCCCTGTGTTCTGAGAAATGTGGTTCATGGAAGGAGAAAAACATGCAGAAAACTTAAATTGTCTCCTCAGCTTCCCCTCCCCCCAAATTAGCCAAAATTAAGTTCACTAATCTGCAAAAGAAAATTCTATTCTTGTGTTTAGTCTTCATTCCCAGTAGGGATATTATCTTACTTGTCCTTAAATATTTCAAGAATCTGTGATTTAATCTTTGTGGGCATTCCCTCCACCAATGGGGACTACTAGCCCTCCACACCTTAGCAGACAGCTTTTCATAAGATGCTATGGCTGGAAGAAAAAAAAAATCACTGGGAGTCAAACCTCTGATTGTGAGCATTTGTGAATTTAGCTGGCCTAGTATAAAATCAAAACAAAAAGCTATTATTAGTGTAGCTTTATAATTCATGGGGCCCTTCCTGTTAATAGAATTAGGTGGCAAGGTGGCACAGTGGAGAGAGTGCTGGACCTGGAGTTAGGAAGACCTCAGTTCAGGTCCACCCTCAGACACTTACTAGCTATGTGACCTTAGGCAAATCACGTAACTGCTGTCTCCCTCAGTAATTAGGAAGGACCAAAGTTCAATCAGGCACCACCTCCCAGAGTTGTTATGAGAATCAAAAGAGATCATATTTATAAAGTGCTTTGCAAACCTTAAAGTTCTACATCAGTGATAGCTATTATTATAATTATTATTCTATCACATTCGAATACTATAATTTATTTAGCCATTCCCCAACTGATGCTAAGGCATCTCCTTAATTTCCAGTTGTTGTTTTTTTTAACCACCACAAAAAGTTCCTATACAGTAAATAGTTTTGTAAAGTCACCACCACCAATTTATTAGCTGAATTTAAAAGCTACTAATTAAGTCAGGACTAACATTTCAAAGCTGAGCATGATGATGGTACACTCACAAATTAGATCTCTTTTACCCCTCACCCTCCCCAAGTTCTAGATTCTATGATTCAAAACAGGCTTTCAAGCATCATTGTTTGCAAAGCCTATGTAATTCCAAACAGACAAGTGAATACCTACCTGCCCATTTATGAACATGGAGTACAAGAATACTTATTTGATAAGGTCTTGTTCCAATAGGACATGGAACACATTTTAAACATTCCTAAGAAGTGGGCATCCTTATGTAAGACATAGTGCGGTGTAGTAGATAATGGGCTGGCCTTGTAATCAGGAAGGACCAAAGTTCAAGTCTTGTGTCTGATACATAATTGCTACTTGACAGGGGACAAGTCACTTGACCTGTCAGTGACCATCAGTCAGTTCTCTAAGACTTTAAAGTTACAAATGAGATGCTGACCTGCATTAATGGAATACACAAGAAGTTCTTCTACTGATGTAATCACAGGTGTGGACCTCTGCCCTTCCCCCTCACCCCCTACTCCCAAACCAAACAACCCCAAAACAATAAAATCAAACTACCATATGCTAACAGGTAATACTACCAGAAGTAAGCTGGTAGTGGGGCAGCAAGGAGGCTGCCTGTTGCCATGGGGAGAGAGCTGCACTTGGGGCCCAGCTCTCCCATTTACCAGGTATATGACCTTTAGTAAGCCACATCTCTCTGGGCCTCAGTTTCTTTATCTGAAAATGAGGAAGTTGGACTAAGGTATCTCTATAAGCTTTTCCCCTCCTAACTTTTTATGATTCTTGTATTATTTTTAGGGAGGGTTCCGAGATTCATTAGTGATGGATTTAGAATTTGACCCAGTTTGGGACTCCCTCAACATGTGTGCAAATTTGCATCTCCTCTCCAGCAGCTTAACCTAGTCCTTGTATTAGAACTGCATCTTAGCCCATCATCTTAATCAAAAGTAGTTTATCAATTTCCCTCCTTGAAATCCTATAGGTCACTGTTGCTGTCATTCAGACAGCTGTCAGAATGAGGTTCTAGGAAAATGAGGAACTGAGTTTTGTTCAACCCCTAAATCTGGCAACAATATATTCCTTCTACTTGCAAGACTATGTGACATATTAGCAAACATCCCAGAACATACAAGTTAACGAGCTGCCTGACAGTGAAAGCATACTATATGCAGTGTCAGATATGCTTAACGTGCATTTGAAATTTCCAATAATATATTCTCCTTGGTTTTCAAAGAATTAACTAATTTTCCATGATGTTATGACCATTAGCACCATTAACTATATGGCTTTACAGGATAAACTTGATTTCTGATCATCTGTAGGTAATGAGTACTATGTTAAAGTTTTTCGTTTCCTTCCCCTTGGAGGGAGTCAAAGAAATCTGAGTCTATTGGGCCTAGCATCATGGTTTCATTCTGAGTGAAGAGAGTGCTGAACTTGGAGACGGGGAGTCCTGAGTTCAAGCTATTTGATCCCAGGCAGGTCACTTAACCTCTGTGGGCCTTAGATTCCTCATGATAAAATGGGGATAAGGATAGTTCTTACTTCATAGGATTATTGTGCCTATCAAATAACGTAATACATGTAAAGTGCTTTGCAACCTTTAAGCATATAAATGTTAGGTGGGTTGTTGTTGTTGCTAATATACTCAGAGAACCCTTCCTTTATGGGCAAAGATCTTCTAGAAATGTCTTAGCCTCTGGCCCCTTGGTATTTTGAATCCTCCTATATGGAATAGCACGCGTAGGCAAAGAATTAACATGATACAATGGGTAAAACATTGGATTGGGATTCAGGCATGTTGGGTGTTAATCTTACCTCTGCCGTCAGCCATCTGTGTAACCCTATGTAAGAAACAGTTACGTGGCAAAGTAGATAGAATGCCAGGCCTGCAGTCAGGAAGACTCATCTTCCTGAGTTCAAATCTGGCCTCAGACACTTATTAGCTGTGTGACCCTGGGCAAGTCACTTAACCCTGTTTGCCTCAGTTTCCTCTTCTGTAAAATGACATGGAGAAGGAATGGCAAATCACTCCAGTATCTTTGCCAAGAAAACCCCAAATGGGATTATGAAAAGTCAGACACAACTGAAAAAAATGACAACAACAACAACCACCATCCTACATTAAAGAAATCTGTTCCTGGCCCCCCCCCCCTTTTTTTTATAAAATCAGGGGGCTGGATCAGGAAATCTCCAAGTATGCCCCCAGTTCCAACATTCTATGAGTAAATCATTCTATTATTCTAGAGCAAGGGTTCTTAGCTTTTTGTGTGCCATATTAGACCTCCTTGGCAATCAGGTGAAACCTATGGACCCTTTCTCTGAGTGTTTATAAATGCATAAAATAAAATATGCAAGATTACAAAGGAAACCAATCACATTGAAATAGTTACTAAAATATTAAAAAAAAAACCCCAAGGTTATGAACATCAGGTTAAGAACTCGTTCTAGAGGGAGGGAAGAAAATCAGCAGACCCTAACTGACTGACATTTTCTCAGGAGGATTGAAGGTTTACACTACAAGATCTATGTTGTAGACATTTGGATTTGGAGCTTAGATGGTTTCAAATCAAAAGTCAAAAACCCTGTACTTCCCCTTTGAGGGGTGGGAGATACGCTATTGCTCAATAACTTTTGCTTAGCCAAGGAGCAGTAGTTAGAGATCTCCATCAATTTCCTCTTCTCCTTTTTCTTCTCGCTTCAACTCCTCTGCCTTTTAACCAGTGCTCTCCCTGTAATGCTGACATTTCCACCTTCTTACCCACCTGACAGGCAAGACTTCCACAAATTCTCCTCCTACTCCTAGTTTCTTGCCCACTTCAGTCAGTCATATGCCCACAAAGCTTTCAAGGATGCCTTAGGAAGGTCAACCTCAGGCTAACTGGAGTCTAGAGAGGTTATATTTCCATATAGACAGGATATATTTCCAATTTATCTGACTGGTAGAGAGGACAGGTCTAGTGTTGTGGGCTGACAGTCCTGAAGCCCAGTCACGCATTAGAACTAGATTCCATCTGAGGGTATTTTCTCATGCTACTAAGTAGCAGTGCCTTGTAATTACAACAGTGTGGGAGAGACAAAATGTCAAATTTTTCTGGCTGGTTTATAGATTTTACACTGGATAAAACAATCAGTACACCATAAGTTCTATCATCTCAATCTCTAAAAAAGAATATGACTCCGTGCTCCTGACCTGGCAGGGAATGAAGAGCAATGAGTTAAGATTTAGAAAGTACTTTGAGCGCCTCAGAAAGGAGCCCCTGTGTGCCCGGAACAAAGAATGATTATGACAGCTTCCTGCAGCATTCCGGGAAGAAAGCCACGAGGACCCTGGCACCCAATGAGTAATAGAGTATCTCTATCTGCCAGCATTGCAGCTGGCATTAGCAGAATTGTTTGGATTTGATTGTTAGGTCATAAACCATCACGCCTTAAAAATAATTTTTTGGGGGGTACTTACTGTCCAATATTGGTGCACTTCGGTCATTGGTGACTGTTTTCTTGAGTTTTTTCCCTTTGCTAATGTCAGAAAGGAGAGCATTTCTTCCAGCCTGTTCTGATTTGTTCAAGGAAGGCTTCTCTGTGTTTGCCTGAAAAGTAACCGTGCAAACTTGTTATTTATCAGGAAGATGAAGACCATGAACTGCAACATTCAGTGGGGGCAGCCTCGGCAGAGGAAACTCCTAATTAAGAAGCTTGGCAACAGGTTATAAATCTTGGGGAAGTTTGACAATGATACAAATGTGGCTTTTTTTTTTTTTAAAGATGGAGATAATCTGGGGGCAGATGTAGCAATAAATAACATTCATTTTAATGCAGGAAAGTTGCTCTTGATAGAAGACTCTGATGCCATTGTCTGTTGGATTGTAATGGATACACTGGCTTGGCCGACCAGGGACAGAAGGGAATTTTAATATTGGGGCAGAGAGGCCTTTGCAGGTGGTATCCAGGGTTTGACCTCCAAAGGACAGATTCAGGAACTGCTTCATCTATCCATCCACTTCAATAAGCACGTATTAAGTACTTGCAACGTGCTCAGCGAGAGGCACAATGTCCTGGTGAATGAGGAGCTGTCTGGGAGACTAGATAACATACGTCTGGGTTTTATCTTTGACCCATACTGGCTGTCTGACTTTGGGGAAATGACTTAACCTCTCAGGGTCCTAGGCAATTTTCAAAGATAGAAGCTGTAGAACAGCTGTAGAACAGCTGCCAGTCCAGGTGAAAAACACCTGCACTGTGGTAGTTGTTGGGAAGCTGTGATGCTTCAGGCACATAGCTTTATAAACACTTATTGACTGACTCCAGGACTTCCAGGATTTCATCAGTGTATTCCCTCCACTGGTGCAGTTCACGACCCCAATATAACTCCCTAGATGGTTTCTGAGAGTCGAGAGGCTTGGAAAAGTCATCACCCTGTGGCCAAACTGGTCCTCAGCTCTTTTGAATTTAGCTAAGCTGGTTTTAATGTATAGGCAAACAGCCTGTTGTCACCAGGTCTCATGGTTACTGGAGGAGATGGAAGGATTAAATAAAAAATGGCCCCTCTCCTCATGGATTTTTCTGTCTAGTAGGCAAGGAGTTTAGTTTACCAATTACATATGGAAAAAAAAATTATATGTAGCATTAAAGTCTGGTCTAAGGATTACTTAGGCAGCAAGGTGGCACAGTGGCTAGCATGCTAGCCTTAAGAGTCAGAAAGACCTGAGTTTGAATCCTGCCTCAGATGCTTACTAGCTATGTGACCTTGGGCAAGTCATGTAGATTCTCTTAGCTTCAGTTTCCTTTACAAAATGGGGATAACAATAGCACCTACCTTCCAGATTTGTAGTGAGGATGAAATCAGCTAACATAAAATTATTGGAAAATTTTAAAATAATATAGAAATGATTTTTATTATTATTGTTACTACCTAGTCTGGCCATTCCAGACTGGCCCTGGGGCAATTCTTGAAGTGCTAGATCTTAGATATAATAATGTAGGGACCCAGGAGGTAGTCCTTGCAAATTTAATAACTATGAGGGTCTCTCTTGGGTGTGTTTACTAGAAAGATAGGCTAGGTAGGGCTAGCCCAATCCCTCCTTTCATCTCCTATATCTCTTTTCTTCAGGGCTCTGCTCTCAACTCGGTAATAATGTATGTTGTTGTTCTTCAGTTATGGCCAACTTCTTGTGATCCCATTCGGGAAAGTTTTCCTGGCAAAGATGCTGGAATGGTTCCTTCTCCTGTTCATTTTATAAATGAGGAAACTGAGGTAAACATAGTTAAGGACTTGTCCAAGTCACACAGCCAGTAAGTGTCTGAGGTCACATTTGAACTCAATTTAGTAGCTAGCTTACTACTAGATTACATAATGACTTCATTCCTTTGTATAGTGGAAAAAACGTTGAGCTAGGAATTAGGAAATCTGTATTATAATACAGATTCTATCTATATGATGGTGGGCAAATCCCTTCACTAAGACTCAGTTTTACCACATGAATAATAAGGAGGTGCTACTTGATTTTCAATTGTTCGACAAGTGTCTATTAAATAACCATGTTGCACTGGGCACTATGCTAGGCATTGGGGATACAGAGACAAAAAACAAAATGGCACCCACCCTTAAAGAACTTACATTCTATAGTGGTGGTGGTGGGTAGGGAGAAGAGAAATCACATGTACACAGAAAATTAAAGACAAAATGTGTACAAAGTAATTTGCAGGGGGAAGACACAGAACTAATATCTCTAAGGTCTTACTGGATCTAGTATCCCAAGCTTAATTGAATTGTACATGTATTCTTAAGTAGTCAAATTATAGATACTATTAGAGTAAATCGATTCCTGTTTCCACAATGGGTAAAGGCAACCTTAGGATGGGAAGGGCAAGGTTGGCTCCAATCTATTAAAGAAGAATGGAACCAAAAAGGAAATAAGTATGGCCATAAAGGACAGGTGATAGAGTGGAAGGAGCACTTGGTTATCAATTATAAGGCCTAGGTTCTACCCCTAATTTTGCTACGTATTAGTTATGTGACCTTAGGTAAGTCATTTCACTTGGTTCTCAGTTTTCCATAAGACAATATAAGTGAAAGTACTTTGTGAACAGTCTATGTTCACAAGTACTATGTGAGTGTAAGGTATTAATGCCTTACATTTAGATAGCACTTTACAAAGTGATCTCCTCACAACAACCCTGAGGCAGACAGTTTAAATATGAGATCCCTGTTTGAGGGAACAAATGAGGAAACTGAGGTTTAGTGGGTCATCCATATTCAGTCAGTATCAGAACTGGAATTCTGATTTCAAGCCCAGTGTGTATCCCAATATATGACACTGTCTCTCTATTTCTACTTATTACATAAGAGAGGAAAGATGGAATTGGCTAAAAAGTTTCTCTGGAAAGTGGAAAAGTAAGAGTTCTGGCTTAGCAAATGAATAACTTTTGCTGAATGAATAACTTGACAAAGAGGGGAAAAGTTAAAAAAAAAAGAAAGCAGAGAAGGAAAGCAATAAAATATGGCCAACAAAACAACGGATAAATTTATTAATAGCATATATTTTGATGGGCGTGAAGCTGAAATGTAGACCATCTGGTTGTATTTTATAAGGTCACCTTATTCACCTGCATCTTCAGAGTCCCTAGTTGTAGCCAGAGCCAACTTGGAGGTATGAATGTATCTTAGGGAATGACCTGAACTGTAGGTAGCCTAGGCTGGCCTTGGTACTACTTTAAACTCAAGAGCTTCTTTGAACCATGGGTAACTGGGACCAGGCCAGGCTAGAATGAGAAAAGGCAAGTTAATGAGATTGACTAAGGTACGTATTGAAAATTGGAGGCTAGCCTTATTGAAGGAGAAGTGGACTATGTTGGTGAGGGTTAGCAGATGAGCCTATATGTGTAAAGTGGGGCCCATTAATTGAGGAGCCTTGAATGCTAGGATGAGCTTGGACTTGATATAATAGGTGATAGGAAGCAATGGTAGATTCTTGAGCCAGGAAATGTCATGATAAAATCAGTATTCTAGGGATATTAATCTATTGGCAATGTGTAGAATGGATTAGAACTAGAACAAAAGCCAGCTTCTTAACTATTGATTTACTCTAGAAAGTCAGGTAATATGGATAGTGGCAAGGAAACTGGAAAAGAAAGCTGAATCTTAGAGGCACTCAGAGGGAGAATTGATCTAATGTGGAGATAATGTATATTGGTAAGAATAACATTCACATGACTTGGGTTCTGGTTCTAGTTCTGCTATTTAACTAGGCATGATTCCAGCACAAATGAGTTAGTTTCCTTTGTGAAATGAATGTAGTAACCTGGACCAGGAGGGCCTGGAAGATCACCTTGTCTATAAGGTACCTTTTAGCTCCAAATCCTTTGACTCTGACTTGTGGATAAATTTGAGATGAGGGACAGAATTAAAGGGGAAAATGTAGACAGGCTTTCGCTCTGGAGTCAGAGGAACTGGGTGTAAACCCTATCTCTGACAATTACTAGCTGTGTGACCTTGGGAAAGTGATTTAAGCTCCCATGGGTCTCAGTTTCCCTTGAGGAACTGAATCTGTAAAATGAGGGGCTGGATCAGATGGCCTCTGAAATATTTCCCAGCTCTAAATCTATGATCCAATGAGTTTAAGACTGTAATGGACTTGGTAGATTAGAAGAATGTTATGTAGCAGCAGGTAAGTAGAATGTAAGCCCCTTGAAGATAGGGAACTTTTTGTGTGTGTGTGTGTGTGTGTGTGTGTGTGTGTTTAAGTCAATCAGGGTTAAGTGGCTTGCCCAAAATCACACAGTTAGTAAGTGTCTGAGGCCAGATTTGAACTCGGGTCCTCCTGACTCCAGGGCTGGTGCGCTATCCACTGTGCCACCTACGGAAAGGGAACTTTTCTGTCTTTGTATTTCCAACATTTTGCCACTTAATAAATGGTTACTGAATTAAACTGAATTGAAGGCAGTCTGAGACAAAAGTTAGTGAAAGGTAAGTCCCAGTCAGGACTGACCCATTGCCATTGAGTTCAACCAGAACTGAACTAATTTCTGGAAGGAAGTAGGTCAAGAGTAGGGGACAGACCTCACGATGAGTGGAGAGTTCATCTGTCTATCTCCCACTACCAATCAGAACTGGACAAAGTGTATCAGTGAATGACCAGAGGAGTCAGCCCTTGGAACACTGTGTCCTCTGGAATCTTTATTTTAGTGATATGGCTGACAAGGACAGAGTGAGATCTAATCAGACCATATGTAAGACTTAAAACATTTACAGAAAAACTTGAAACAAACGGACACTTTAAAAAAAGTTTAATGTTATTTGTGCCAGCTTGGTTTGGGGGTTTGCTTACATTGTGCACCTGGGTCAATCTGATCATTTCTTATTTAAGTCAGAAGAGCAAATATGCCTAAAACAAATACACACTTGTCTTTTTCTACTTAGACATTGAGACACTCACCAGGGCAAATGTTGGTGGGGGTGGAGGTGCTGGAGGGGGAGGAACAGGCATCTTGGACAATTAAGCTTCAATATTTTCACTCTTAAACCTGGGGGCAGGGGGGGGGGGGGTGGAGAAAAAACATTAGGCTCTTTTGTGACATTTTATCCTAAACTTTCTTTCCTCTTTTACCTCCACTCCCCAAAATCAAAGTTGAAGTCTAAATTGACCAACCTTTTAAAAAGTCTAAATTAACTTTAAATTGCTAAATAAACCAAAACCCCATCAACAGTGGGATTTCAATTCATTTGTGTGATAAGACTACAGCCTTCATCCAGTTCCTTAGACACTTAGTGCCACTAGCTTTCAAGTAGAATCACAGCGGAATGGAAAAGAACCTGGGCCCTTGGCCCATATGCAAGAATTTTATTATGAAACCACCAGAGTTTTGCCTTGTTCCACGGCCACACCCGAGCTCTTGTCACAAAGGAGTTCCATTGGCCAGAGCAGGGCCTCAGTGAAAGACTGCCACAAATCCACAACCATTGCTGGTACCCTTTGTTTACTGAAGGAGATACATTCTAGTGAAAGGTTGCTGAATGGCAGCTTTTCTGTCAAGCAAACCTCCTTTCTCCCACTAGTTTTCATTGTAAAATCAGAAATGCATTTGTCCTGGGAAGAAATTCAAGCACTGAATATATATGCATAATCTTAAAAACACTGTTAATTTGGTTACCTATTAGGCCAGACAATGTTATAGGGGACAAAGTGTCATAGGTATATAATCCATTGAATTTGCATCTCAGGCCAAGCAACACCCCGATATAGTTTCACATGTTATTGTCAGGTTTGGTTATAAAGTATTCATGATATTTTTGAGAAATGATGTCCAGTTATTATTATATTGTAAGTCTGTGAGGTTGAGCGTGATGGATCTCTTGAGCTCAGGAGTTGAGTTATAGCAGGTGACACTGACTGAGTGAGTATGCTAAGTGTGGCATCAATATGGTGAGAATCTGGGAGAGGGGGGGAGGGACAGAGGGAGTATCACACTTGGACAATCGTCCAAGAAGGGGTGAACTGGAACAGGGAAGAAATGGAGCAGGTCAAAAGCTCCCATGCTAATCAGTAGTGGGATCGAACCATGAATAGCTCCTGCACCTCCAGCCTGGGGTAAGATGGAGAAACAAAGTCTCTAAATTGAAAAAAAAAATGACATTGGTTGGGACAATCTATATTGGCTACACCTATATTAAAATCAAATAAAAACAAAAATAAAAAACCGAATGTGAGAACACAGCTAATAATATATATCTATATTTAAAGGAAAAAGATCAGTTTCTGAATAAAACATGCACAGTACTCCCCAAATTAATAGCACCATTAGGTTAAACTCAAAAGAGGACAGAATAAAAACACTGAAAATAAAAAGAATGCAATAGACAGAAATGGCAGCAATACAACTGCCTGACCCATTCTCCCTCATCTATTGTATCCACTATACAAACAATAATCCCTTCTTCAGCAATTTGTCTAAGCTTTTTACCTGATTACCTTTAAGACACTTTTAACTCTTTACTGAAGGCAATTTTTTAAATGGCTTAAATTTTTTTTCTCTTTTCTAAGACTTGTTGACCTCTTTCCCAGGTCTTGGCTTGACAATAACCTTTGAAGTTAATAATGATTTCCTTGGACAGGAGGAGAGAAGCTGAACTCAAAGCTAAGGATGGAAATGTCCAATCTTTATTCAGGAACCCAATCTATGACTGTCAAGACCTGAAGTCCTCTGACAACTAGCTGATACCTTACAACGGTCAGCAAATTGGATTATGTCTCTGATGTGTTTATTTTTCAAAATATTTATGAACTGATTATTGTTGCTTTCATTAGAGGATGCTAGCATATCAAATGATGTGTGTTCTACCTGGCATGATGCACATCATTGTCCATTATTACCAGTAACATAGAAGGATGGGCACTAAACTTGGTGACAGCAGCAGGGGCAACTTGAATGAACAAAATGACGATTCAGCTTCTTACATACTATGAAGTTGTAGGTGGGGGAGAATGTTGTTGCTTAGAGTTGAATTTGTTATGTTTAGAATTCTGTTAAGTTTGTGTTGGGGATATATTCATACTGGAAAAATAAATAAAACTTCAGTGCAGTATATCATCCGAGAGATAGCAGATTAGTAGCTTCAACTATACTTAAGAAAAATATCATCATCATCATGACTTACATTTATTGAGCACTCTAAGGTTGCAAAGTGCTTTACATATATTATTGTATTCGATCCTCACAAAAACCCTGTGAGATAAGTGCTACAGATTATCAATTATTATCCTCATTTTACAGATGAGGAAACCAGGGCAGATTTAGCAATTTGACTATAGTCATACAAACTAGTAAGCACCAGAGGCTAGATTTTTACTAGATGTCTTCCTGACTTTGGGTCCAGTATTCTACTCAGAAAAACTTGCAGTCTTTATATCTTGCCACCAGATCCAGATGGCTCCAGAGGAGAGACTGAGGCTATTAACTGCATAGCCCTGCTTCACTTAAATCCAATTCACTTGCAAGTCATGGCATCATCTTCCTGATGTCATGGTCCTCTTTGAGAATGAAGGACAAACAACAACAACAAGAGAAAATTATGTAATACACCTGGAGAAATGAAACACCCTGGGGTACCACTGTACTAGGATAAAGAAAACAATTTCAGATCTAGGTACACAACCCCTCTTATATTCCAATTTCTCCTCTACCATGAATTGGTCTCTTAAGACTATATTGCTAATTTCTATGTTAAAATAGGTCTAATTATAGGAAATAAGACCAAAGTTTCCTACCAGAATACCAGAGTGCTTTGGCACAAAGATAACTGAAAAGTAAAGAAAGTCAATAGATTTGGGTTTCAGTCATGGCTTCTCCATTTACTAGTTCTGTGACTTTGGGAAAATCAGAATTTAACTTCTATGAGTCTTCAGCTCTTCATCTATAAAGTGGGGCTAATGATTGCTGACCTGCCTACCTCACAAGTTGTAAGGTAATAGATTGAGAATCGTGAGATAATATAAATGAAAGTTCTTTGTAAATGATGGCATTCCATGCAAATGCAAGCTATATTAATAATGTGATGCTATTTTTATTTTTTTAGTTTTTTTTTATATTTTTAGGCAATTGGGGCTAAGTTACTTGCCCAGGGTCACACAGTTAGTAAGTGTCAAGTGTTTGGTCCAAGGCCGGATTTGAACTCAGGTCCTCCTGACTTCAGGGCTGGTGCTTTATCCACTACGCCACCTAGCTACCCCCGTGATGTTATCTTTATGTAAAAAATTAATTTTATAATTTTTTTTGAAAATGCATGCCTATCTTATTAGACATATTGAATAAGCTCAAGAAGTTATAAAAAGCATGATATAAACTGAGGTAGCTAGGTGGTGCAGTGGAGAGAGCACCAGACCTGGAGTTAGGAAAATCTGTCACTTGCTAGCTTTGTGACCCTGGGCAAACTTAACTTCTTTCTGACTCATTTTCCTCTGTATACTGTAAAATGGGGGTAATAATCTACTTCACAGGATTCTTGTGAATACCAAGTAAGAAAATATTTGTGAGGTGCTTACCTTTAATAAATGCTTATTCCCTTCCCCACCTACTGCTTTAAACACAGATGAAATGGTGACCCACGAATATAACACCAACTGATTCCCCTTTCAAGATATCACTGGGACATTGAACATTAGAGAGAAAAAAAGAATCAATTTAAATCCTTGAGTACCTGGTTGACAAAGAAGTCAAAGATCTGGTGATGAGTCGAAAGAACCACTTAAAAATAACGAGAAGGAAGGGGGTAGGGGGAAGATTGGAGGTTTCAAATCCCATGCTTAATCAGTATAAAGGTATAGAAAACAAAATAGCATTTAGCATATCTGTCATTAAAACAAATGTAGATAGCAATTACCAAGATGAGCTTATAAGTTCTGTCCCTCCTCCCCATTATGTGATCTTGACATGCACAAGAAGTGAGTTCTTTCTTTATATGGATCAATAAGGGCAGATACAGAAGACAAGGTTGAGTTATGCAGGGACTTGAAGAGAAGCATGTGCTGAAAACTGCTCCACTTATATAGGATAAAATACATCATGTTACAAAGAAACCCCTAGAGCAGGGATTCTTAGTCTGGTTGTGGTGTTATTTTAAATATTCTGATAACTAAATTTCCCCATCTTGTCCAGGCTAGTGTAGCTGCCACTCAGGGTTCAGTTCCACCACTGATTGGCATAGAAGCTTTGACCTGTTTTGCTTCTGACCTGGTCTGGTTCATCATTCCTTAGGCAGCCTAGTGAACGCCCACTCTTGAGAACCAGATTAATGGCAGACATAATATGGATATCTGGTCAGCATTAGCCCTACTTCAACTGAAGTGATCTACCATTCGAAACCTTTCCAGCAACAGGGATGTCAGACATGTTAACCCCCATACCCAGTGGTAGATGTACAGGGCGTCCCAAATGTCTGAGCACAGTTTAAAGCTCTAAGTTTTTAAAGAGAAAAAAGAATTAGAGAGATTGAGAAATCACAGAAAAAAAGAAGCTTTAAGTTCTAAGGGCTTAAAACTACATTAAGACTTCTGGGACACCCTCTATTTCAATCTATTTCCTTTGTAATCCTATGTATTTTATGCATTTAATAACTTTATTTAAAGAAGGGGTCTACAAGCTTCACCATACTGCCAAAGGAGACCATGACTAAAAAAAAAAAAAGGTTAAGAACTGATCTAGATTGCTGGGAGCCTACACCAGTTATGATGCTAACCTTGCAGTGGAATGATGGAGCACTGAAAGAAGGGGTCGGGGGAAGGCTCAGGAGAGAGAAAGATTGGTAGCAAAAGAACTCTGGAACCTAGGACCAGAGGAAGCACTGGAACCACACAGCAAAGTGGGACAGAGTCGTTTGGAAGAACAAATTCAGATGTAGTCCTTCATTGGACTATGAACTATGGACTATATGGACTATGAAACCTTTGTCTTTTCCATGTCTTCTAAAAACAACAACAACAACAACAACAAATATTTACATAGCACTTTAAGGTTTGCAAAACACTTTT